ATTCATATCTACTAGGAATGAAAACTTAGTCCGTGGGTAGCAATTATATTGTCTTTGTGCGAGGATTAAAGGAAGGGACTTTATACAATATAAAGACTTTTTCAACTTTAAAATTGGAAAATTTTTGTGGACTCAGAGCTCATCRTGCGCATGCAGTTTTTCCTAAAATAAAAACAAACTGAAACCCTGGAAAAAATACTGTACCTACCTATCGATTAGCATGATGAAAGATATTACTAGTCGGTGTTTCAAAGAAAGTATAAGAATWTACCAAAGTAGGTTATATCAGACACCGTATAATACATAAAAAAAATAAAATATTTTAATTATAACCTCTAATTTACTTATGTAGCAGAGGCTTATATGCAGTAAAGAGTAGTGTTAGGCAGATCTCCATTCTCTGCTTTTTTTTTTATTAAGCTGCATTTTTGTTTTCATGTTTTTTTAAAAAAAAAAGCTTAAAGAAAGAATATTGTTGTTTTTATAAAATATATGTATTCATTGGGTATTTCGTATTTAATTTAATAATACTTATATATATTACAATATGAGCTTACATTTCTTTCACACAGAATACTATGATTCATTTAATTTTAAACCCATTAACTTTTGCATTAATTGTTGTTGATAAATTGTTAACATACGTACATTGATATTTTTTCTGGCTAGGTCTTTAAGGCCATAAAAATAATTAAAGCTTATAGATAGGATTTTGAATTTGGTTCTGTATTATAACTTTCAAAATTTTCAAATAGATAAATTAGCAATAAGTTTTATTAAAACCATTATACCTAACTAAAACTTTTATTTAATGTAGATAGTTGGACGTTGTTTTCTGCGGTATCTTGACACATCTGCAGTAACTTTCTACTTCAAGAACACATTTGGCGCCCACAAACATTTTTCTAGAAGGGTAGAGCAAGATAATTAAAAATAAATGATGATTTTTTTATAAAGAAAACTTGAACCTAACGACTAGAGTTATAGTCAAATGTTATAGCACGTCAATCTACGATAAGATAACGTCATTTTGTATGTAACATATATTAATATATTGAATAAAAAAATACATTGAAAAAAAAATGTCAATAA